TGAGTGGCGCAGGAATTACGAAGGTGTTCGATCGCCGACTTCTTTCGTAACGCAAATGCCGAATCTTTCGTTCTTCAGCCACTTATAAACGTCCTTAGAGGATTCATTATTATCTTTGAACGTCTTGTGACGCTTCAATATTCAAATCATTCAATGTGTTGGTATTCGTATCTGACACGATATAGCGTAGGGAAAATTTACTTCAGAGTGTACAAACCATCGCCTTTCCCGAAAAGAGGCTAGTTTGATGTTCTTTGAGAACACAACCGTATTATTCGCCTCGGGATGGCTTGCCAACGTACTCTCCACAAGTTTTCTCATATACCATTGTGAGCCGTAAGACTGATGCGTGTTCAAATCACATCTCGGCCATGAGTGGTGCCTGTTGTTTGACCATTACTACAACTTCAAATAAGAATTTCCAATATCTCAGAACAAGTATATGTACTCACGGACATAAACACATGTTCATCTTTTGTCACCGTCGTTTATGGTGTAACCAAAGATCACAAAACCGCGAAAGCTTCCACATGGCTCCTTCAGATAGGATCCAAAATGGACCGCGGATATATGTCGTGCGGTCGCCACAGTTATTTACGGGAATTTAATTTTCAATAAGCACTCTTGATTATACTCTGTACGAGGTATTCTAAATTTGAACATTGCAATGAATCTGACCTTTTGAAATATTGTGATGGATTTTTTTGGTGCTAGATTACTTTTAATAAGACATAGCGCTCTTAGAAGCCCTGAGAATTAAATGAGAGAGTCATATGTAGTAATCAGGTAACTAAGTCATGGCCAATGTGGTTTATCTTAGCTTCCCAACCATTTTGTATAGTTTTTTTCTTCATATAATGAAAATCTGTTACATCGGATTGCAGTATTAGCTAATATACATTAATATTCATACCCGAAATATTTATGGGGAGAATTTCTGCTACTTACTCGAACAACAACTTTTATTGTAGTTAGAAACTTGATGTACGTATTTCATAACCTGTGAGTGAAATTGGCATTTTTACAGTCGAAAGCAGCCACAAGCAACCGATAAATGCCTTTGTTTTTCATAACTATTAGCTGTTTTGTTCGGCATTGACGAAATATAAAATCTATAAATATTTCATTTCTTTAATTTTCATGACGAATCTTAAAATGAATTCTTCAAATAGAGTACGGTTTGACAAATGAAGTGGATTTTGTGGTTTACTACTTGAAGATCACAATGCATTTTACCCAGTATGGTGATTTTAATCAATGTACCCTCGCAATACGAATTTGTTGTTTTCCTCCAATTGTAACTTATTTGATTAGGGGCCATGGCCTTCCTTAATACCCTCCGAATGCGTCCGCTACATCCCTGCCTTTCGTCTCACAAGAATGCTTTGTCCACAAAAATATCATACAAGAGACTATTCGCTCTCCAATCGAAAGAATTGCATCGTAAGCTTAATCTATAACTAAGGTGGAAATGAAAGAGCATGAATTCATCACAAGAATATTTCCTTTTGAATGGGTAATTGCTAAAAAGGAATTCATTTAATATTTTATATAAAAACGAAATTCGATGATGACTTTTTTTGCCGCTAGATCAGGTTAACTCGATAAATTGAGAACGCACGTCCTTGCATGTCTTTTTTTTTCTTGTATCCACATCAGAATGGAGGAAAGAAGTGCAACAGTTGCCTAATTTCTTTCTGCAGCCCGAGTAAAAGTGGCCCAACTACCATGAATCGGAGATGGCAATTAGGCCACTTTTCCTCTCGTGGGGGAAAGTAGTTAGGCAACTCGTGGTGCTCGCTGCTGTTTCGTATTGTAAAATGGTATGCAATGTTTTAAATTGGTCAACCACCTTCCATTTAATTATGATGCGTTTTATTTGTGTATTTAATGTCAAAAAGCAATTAAAATGTGTGTAGCATGTGGAGGGGAACAACATGCACATGTTTTGCAGAGTCCCAGATTTTCTATTCCCTTACCCCAATCTTTTACAATTTATAGTTGAATAATGATAGCAACAGGCGTTTTTTGACAAAAATTTGTGACGAAAATGTTAGCCCCAGGAATTACAAACTATTTGCAGCAGAAAATGACGTATAAATGTTGGCTATTATCCTTTGTCATGCCTCAAGTGAAGGTATCAATTCTCCCACCGTGAGAACATGGAGAATTGTTCTTTGATTGTGGTATTGACGAAATTCCTAAATTCCCCACTAACTCCCTACAGAGTTAAAGAAGTTGTTATTTAAGCATTATATATCGTAGTGGCTCTAGTATGTCAAATATTCTGTCGATGAAATTGGTATGGACAAATTATTGATGATTATACGATGAAAATAACAGCGTACGTTATTATGTTAATCATAGCAGTTATGTTAATTAACTTTATTTGTTTCCACTGTATCGAGAAATATTAATGAGAGTCATTGTTTTTATGTTGTTTTTATTTTATTATTTTTTTTTGTTTTTTTGTTAGCCCTATCAATTTCATCGAAAACTTCATCGCCGAGGCTTCGTTTGTGCTGGTTTATTTTCTTCCAGGGAAGGTTGAAACCGTCAAGAACTAGTTAAAAAATTGCAAGTAATTCAATTGAAACAAAATCTATAAATTAAGAAAGTAGTTTTACGTATACCTGTTATCTAGCTAGATTTCGAATTGCTGAAGGATTGTATTACTAAGAATAATAATGATTTACTTAAATTATTAAAGTGGCATTAGTCGTTCAAGAAATGATGTAAGTTTGCAATGATCGTAAAAGATACCTTAAAACCCTTACGTCAGGAATAAGGCGTTTTTAAACCTGAAGTGCAAACCGAATATAAAACTATATACTAGACATTTCGTAATAGGTTTGTTTCATTCAAATTGAAATACACCTACCTATACTTGAGAAATACAATCTTGCGTTTGTGGTGAAACCTCGAAAAAATAATACAAGGTCAGTAATACAATGCTGCACTGTCGAAACTTTAGGAATTTTTGAACTTCACAGATAACTGCTTAAACTCATTGTCTAGTACTATTATGAAATGGATGAATCATCACTTTTAAAATGTTAACGCTGAAATAGAAGAGTAGTGAGGATTATGACGGACAACGTTAAAACATCAACTTGAGATATTAAAAGACAAGTATTACATATTACCACGTCCTCTTACTTTTAAATCGTAATGCTAATGGCACGTTCGAGGTTGTGTATGTTACAATTCTACATTTTCGTTAAAGTACTAGATCGTTCTGTTAAAAAGTTCTCACTTATTTCATAGGTTAGAATGAGATGTTTAATTAATATAATGTAAATATGTGTGCTTGTGTATATTTCAGGTTTGTTATTTTTCAGTATAACATTTTTGTCTATGTATTTTTTTTGTACTTTAGATGGATTCACGATGAGAATAGGTAATGAAAACAAACAAATATTTGCTTAGAGTAAAATAAATCAGAGGTGCGCCGATTGCTTCGGTCGCAACATTAAAAATTTGAAACTTTAAACAAGAGGAATATTTTATACTCAATGACCGAAAATAATTACTCAAACTATTTGAAAATTAATATTACCTTATCAGTGTTGTTTTTGAATATTTTACGTAATTAATGTATGGGAGTAATGCAAGCACTGGCAGCGAAATGAATAAATGAAGCAACTTATGTAAAAGAAGTTTAATTTTGTATATTCTCGGGAATTGTTTGAAGCTCGTAACTTTGTTTATTACTGCTTAATGTTTTGCAATTTTACATTTGAAACATGATAATCTTTTACTCGTACAGAAATGTGTCCCAGAATAAACATTACAAAATTGCAGGGCCTGAAGACGAGTCGTTGATTGGTGTTTGCGGTCACGACAACTGCCACGTCCGTAGGTCCCGTTAGAGAAGTGAATGCTTTTTATGCCTGGAGGTGCCGGAGTTCCTCTCCCGCCAGATGGTGAGATCCGACAGCGACATGCACATCGGCTCGCTGGGGATCCCCACAGATGTCTTCGCGTCGGATCTGGGGCCGAGCTCCGAGCGGGGCGCCGCACCAGCCAGGACAAGCTCTAAGCACCCGATATGTGTGGTAGTTTAGTATATGTAAGTAGGGGTGAGGATAGGACAAAGAAGAGGAAGGGAAGATCGCGCGAGGGCCATGGCCCGTTTGTTGGGATACTGCTCCGGCATTCCCCTGGTGTTGAATGCAGGGGCGGATACATCCGATCAATTTTTTTTGGGGGGGGGGGAAGGCGTTGTAGATTTTTGTTAAATAATAATGAACATTTTTATTATATTGTATGTTATTTATTTACTGTAGATATGATACTATACAGTATTATTTTTTAAATAATTACGTAAACGAAACCCCTTGGCCTTTTGTGGGGGGGGGGCATGGACCATATGGTTCCCCCTGGATCCGCCAGAGGTTGATCGGAGACACCACGGAAAACTATCGATCAGAGAAAGAGTAGGCTTCCGCGGCCGGAATCAGAATCTACTTGGCACTGGGAGAGGTTGCTCAGACCATCAACTGATGTCACTGCAGTGTCTCACCGGGAAGTCCTAGGTTTGAGTCCTGATGGTGACAGGACTTTTCGACCATAGCTAGGTCGAATCAATCTACCCAGTCGCTATGATCGGTAGTTTTCCGTGGTTTCTCCTGTCACCACCAGGCGAATTCCGAGGCAGTATCCTAATAAAACGGGCCTCGGATCGCGGACGTTCTTTCCTTGTTCTTCCCTTTTCTAACCTCACCCCTTACACACACTATCACTAACATACACTACACTACCACATCGTGTCGGGAGCCGGAATTCGCCATCTAACAGAAGATTACTGCCACTTCCCGAGAAAAATGTGAACTACTCTTACGGGACTAATGACCTTAGCAATTGACTCACTCGAAATCAATCAACTTGGCTGATCGGGAGCCCCCGCACGTGCACAAAACGAATGAAAGTCGACCTGGACGGGTCATGGTTTTGCCCGAACTGTACCAATCGCCGTAAATACAGCATTCATTTTTCAGAAGGATGGTCTGAATGCGCGCCCAGCCGTGCCTCAGGCCTGCTTTGACGTGCTTGGTGTTGACTGACGCTGCTTTGAAAGGGATGTCTTGAATGTACAATATGAGCAAGAACATGGAAGGTATGTTCTTTCAAATGCACTAATGTTTGATAAAAAAAATAGAATTTTTTGTTGTGTTAAAAATGCGAAAGTGTCACCATGTATTTGAGACAGGTTTCTTAAGTGAGAAGAAATTTAAACTGAGGCATGTTAAGTTCTCATCAATTTCCAAAAATGTTCTTTGCACGCTTATATTCCCTAAACCTTGTGAAACAACTGGTGAAAAAGTCATCGCTCGTTTAATTTGTGCCTTGGCCCGAGTCTGACGTGGTACAGGATGGACCCTTGCGCTCCAAGAACTCCATGTGGAGGAGTTGAATTGGAACTTGGATATAATGTTCCTGAGTGTAAAATTTATTAATAAGGTGTGCACATTTTATATCATAGTTTTGTTGCAAATCATATTGTGTAGTGTATATTCATATATTCACGCCTTTTTCTGGTTTGTTTTTGTACACTAGTCCCGATATAATTACGAGATTTCGAAACGTCGGCAAACTAATTATTTAACTGTTTATACTACGTGAACTACATCCCTCATTGCATCAAGGTCGTAAGACCTACATGAATTGGTAATTTTAATTCTCAGTATACATTAAATTTTCGTTCTGGGTTATCCCAGTCGTGCTGAGATGAATGCATGCCACTGGTATTTCGGAATATATTGAAGATTCGATAGTTTTAAGTCAATTATCATGACAATTTTTATTGTTATGCTAGCTGAACCCGGCAGAAATTGTTCTGCTCTACATCTCCATCTTTCTCCTTCCTTTTCCCTTTTCCTCTTCGCCTCTCCCTCTCTTTTCGTATCTCCCTCTCTATGACGCTCTCCCTCCCTCATACACATTTAATGGCAGATTCTGCACGTCTCTGAGCAGGTTGTCTAATATCGAGAACCGCCGGACCAGCACCAGGTTGTATAATACCAACCAGTCATCCCCCTGGCAGTCTAACTTCATGGAGTCGCCCAACGCCAGAATCCTGCCAGTGGTGGTTCGAACGTCGAGGGCTATATCAAGGTCTACAGTCAGTGTTCCTGGGGATCACTTGCTCACAGAAGCTTTATTGAGCTCTACGCACAAATTGTAAATTGTGATGGAGCATTGCTGCATTGCTGTCAGTCAATGCAGAAAAAGAACTTCATGATCCCGTGAGAAAGCCAGGGGATCCTAAAATGCCTAGGACTTAGTTACCACGATTTTAAGTGGGAAGTGTGTGCTATTTAATGTAGCATATAGAAAATTGTGTACTAAAAATCAAAGACATTGAAATAGCATCCAGAATCCACGTTTTGTGGGTCCTTGATACGGAAACATTGGATGACAGTGAAATGTTTGTCAATGTCAATCAAACTGGTCAATGCTAGAATCTAAACTGTTCAAACAGTTTTCTCTCAAATTTATATTCTCCCCCATCGTTCTGGCCGAACTCAATGTCCTCCAAAGTATTAGAATTTGGAAAAAAATTTGCATGAATTTTCTCAAAAATCGCTCCAATTTTAATTATTTTTCTTTGGATAAAGCAGAAAACGCTTAAAAATTGCGCATTCACATTTTCCTTGTCTAAATATTCGAAAATTGCAAAAGTTCGAACCATTTTCGGCAACTTTCTATAACTTTAATACTAAAGATGGATTTTAGTTTTCCGTATACGTACGTATATACGGAGTATTATTCATAGTATAGGAAAAGTTATGTAATGCAGCGAAAAAACTATCCGTATGATCTTGTTTAATTAAAGAACCTCTGTCCATCTGGCTCGACTCGAAGCTCTGAGATTTTCAAAAATTTTCTTTAAAATTTTGATGTACTTAACATGAAGCCCCCTGACATATTCGAACTTATTTGAAAAACTGCTCCAAATTTTTTCTTTAAATTTCTTATAAGAATATAGTAAAATACACTTATAAAGGTGGCACAGGTTTTTTCATAGTTAACTCTGAATTTTGGAACATTTTAAAAATTTGATTTTTTTTCGGCGTCTTCTTACAACTAAAATTGAAGTTTTTTTCTTCAAATTAAATTTGTTGTCCATAATTAGTTCTTTCATTAAGGTCATGTACATTGTTTTGAAATTTTTAATAGTGTTTGCGCATTTTGCGCAATTTTACTAAATAACAAAGACAGGATTTTCTGAAAAACTTATCCACATTTTTTCTTTAAACTTTTGGTAGAGATAATACTGTACTCTATAAGATAACATAAATCCTAAAAAAAGAGCCTAATTGCTCTATTTTGTTTTTTCACAAATTAAAAAAATTAATTTTTTAACTTGTCTCTCACGTTGTTAATACTTATATTAGCGGCAATTTGTTTACGTTATTATATTTATGAGTATATATGTTTTAAATAATGTCATATAAAGTTTCTCGGAAACTCGAACGTTTATTGTGAAAACTAGCTCAACATTTTCCATATTCAGTAACACTCAAACGCCATTTTCTCAAAAACGACTCCAATTTTTTTCTTGAAACCAATTACACTGTTTAATATGACGTAAAGTTTTGTTGTAGTTTGTTTCTTCTTTTTTTTCTTTTTCTTCTTCTTTTTCTTCTTCTTTTTCTTTTTCTTCTTCTTTTTCTTTTTCTTCTTCTTTTTCTTTTTCTTCTTCTTTTTCTTCTTCTTTTTCTTCTTTTTCTTCTTCTTTTTCTTCTTCTTTTTCTTCTTTTTCTTCTTCTTTTTCTTCTTTTTCTTCTTCTTTTTCTTCTTTTTCTTCTTCTTTCTCTTTTTCTTCTTTTTTTTCTTTTTCTTCTTTTTCTTCTTTTTCTTCTTTTTCTTCTTCTTCTTCTTCTTCTTCTTCTTCTTTTTCTTCTTTTTCTTTTTCTTCTTTTTCTTTTTCTTCTTCTTCTTTTTCTTCTTCTTCTTTTTCTTTTTCTTTTTCTTCTTCTTCTTCTTCCTCTTCTTCTTCTTCCTCTTCTTCTTCTCTTTTTCTTCTTCTTCTTCTTCTTCTTCCTCTTCTTCTTCTTCTCTTTTTCTTCTTCTTCTTCTTCTTCTTCTTCTTCTTCTTCTTCTTCTTCTTCTTCTTCGTTTTACTGTTCTTTAACATTTTTAAAATAAAAATATTTCTGTTCTACAATTTGGAAACCAAAGAAAATGTCAAAAAATGTACTTCGGACGGTAATAGACTGCAGCTGGCAAGAGAATGTGGCAAGTCCAAAAAGCGAACCGAGACTAAAGGAAATGGAAAAACTAAGACGGGGAGTCTGTGCCATTGTGTAGCACCACTAACTACTTAATGAAACTTGTTCTTCAAAGACAGCTCTTGAAATAATGTTATGTACATTTTTTTAAAATTTGAGTAATTTGTGTGAAAAAGGAAATTAAAAAATATATTTTCTCAACATTGCCTCCAATTTTTTTCAATGACACAGCATTTTGAATTCTTAGATTAGCTTGAGCTCTAATGTCTATTGTATATTACTTGCCCCATGGTTTCTCATTGTTGAGTGAAAACTGCATTTCGAAATGAACTGTTTAGAAGTTTTGGGCAAGGCTGATAGTTGATGGGATATTTTGTATGTGTTATTATAACAGATAAGAGAGAAATTCCGTGAAAGTAAAAAAATATTGTCAATAATCAAAGAAACAAAAGATGTGACACCATATGGCTAAATAAAAATTATATATTTAGAGACAATTTTATAATTATTTCACAAAGTATGAATTAATTCTAATAGGACTCATTCTAATGGGAATTGAAAATAAAAATTCAAATCATTGTATCTAGAATATTTTATTTTCTCAAACATCATTTACTGTAGGACCAATTTTAATGAAAAGCCAGAACCAAATTTGTATCTCCAGTCTAGCCTTTGCTATAGCAAGGAGAACCTATAATGTATCCTTGCCAGGGTACAGACTAATATTGCTTATGGAAACAACGTTAATAACTGAAAGATTGGTAACATTCAATTAAGGCATACAAAAACTATCACTTACTGCTGTGAGAACATGGAAAAAGATCATTTGAATAACTGTATTCCTGCACTGAAATGTAGAAAATGAGCAAAGGCAGTGAAGTTTTATTGATATCCATATGCAAAACAAGGGACCATCTCAGCATTTACTCATAGGAGCAGGGAAACTGGATGAAATAATCATTGACCTAGAAGCTTAAGTACAATAATAGTTTTAGGTATTTTTAGTATTTTAGAATTATGCAGACCAAACAGTAACTAATACATTAAATATTATTGTTAAACTCAATATTACTTTCTTTTTTGATTGTCGGTATAGTCTCTAATTTTATAGAAACAGTTCCTATTCACAAACTCTTCAAAGAATTGGTTGTGTCAATTGTTTAGGTAAAAATTGAGACTTGGTTTAGATTCCAGGTTCAAGACACCAAAGTGTGGAGCATTTTCAATTATTAAAGACGTGTTACGCAGTAATAAGGACATATCACTGACATTTAACATTATCACACATTATTGTCATCTTATGGAACATTTTTATATATTTGCCACTCCAACAATGTGTCACAGTGGAGATAATGAAAATCTAATAATGTGTAAAACACAGAATCAAAAAAGTATTTAAAGCATTGGTAGCAAAGCTGTAATAGCAACTGGAGATGAACCAGGAGACCTTGGATCAATTCTCATTTGTGGTGACATACTTTGAACATTTTAAATAATAAGACCACAGTATCAATTTGTATTTTGGTGAATAAAATAATATATTCTATAGCTAACTCTAAATAAAGCAAATGTAAAAGAACTAAAATAAAAAATCAAACAGAGTTGTTACATGTTTAAAATATTGGTGATAAAACAATTTGTCATGTATCTTAGAATATAATAGTAATAGTAATAGTAATATTAATTGAGTCACATATACAATTACAATTGTGTATGACAAGTCAAATATGATACAAATACATCTTGGGAGCAGCGAGTGAAGTTACATTTATTTTTATTGTCCAGAAGCAAACCAAGGGGTCATCTCAGCATTTGCTCAAAGGACCAGGAAAACTGGACAAAAAACCTGATGAAGATGGGGTCATTGGTCTAGTGATTATACAATACTTGTTACAGATATATTAAGATATTACATAGAAGATAAATATTTTTAGGCAGCAATTATTTGAACATTTGACTTACTTTAATTTAATTTAAAATATTTTAAACTTTTAAGATTTATAACATTTCATTTAGAATATCATTTTCTTGATATAGTGATTTACTGCTACTACTTATAGTAATAGTAATGAATAATAAGTAATAATTAATAATATAATAATTAATAATAATAAATAATAATAATAATAGATAACATTACTTATAATATAATAATAGTTTACTAACAAGTACATTTATAACATTATGTAAAGCTACATATGGTTTTAACAGTTTAGTATGTTTCTTGTAGTATCCTTGAAATGGGGAAGAGCGCCAAGTTATGGCAGATTTTTTCCTATTCTACACCTAGTCCTACTGCAGCACCTGAAATCACATTGCACATGTTAGTCATTGAGGTATTCCTGAACGCTATAAAAAAGTTTTACCCCAAGGAAATGTTTAAGTTTTTTTTTGAAGTTGTACAAGCCTGTCGTGATTCTCAACAACAACAACAACAACAACAACAAAAACAAACAAACAATAATAAAATAATTGATAGAAGTAATAATATGAATTTGGTAAGAGTTATTCACATCATTTAATAATAAATTACTGAATATTCAATGCGTTCACATAGCTCATCTGAACTGTTGTTAATGTTGTTTTTGTTATTATTATTATTATTATTATTATTATTATTATTATTATTATTATTGATACGTCGATGGTGTAAAATTTAAAATATCTACCTGTAAGTTATTTATTGAATTAATAAAGTGAAATAAAATTAAATTATCAAGTCTAATTAATAACTTCGAAAGTAAGATAAAATACCACATCCTTTCATTCATATTACTTCTAATTATTTTAATAATTTTAGCTATTTTCTATTAATGATTGAAATTATTGAACCAATATTTACTGTTATCAATAATTCCATTCAATATTGTATGTTATGGTTGATTTCACCTTCATTTAAGGAATTTGTAAATGTATGTTTGCAATTTAATGGTATACACATTCAGTGAATGTCTAAAGAATTTTCAAGGAAACTTCCTTTGAGTGGGAGCAATTAACAAGAAAATGGATTTCATTGTATTTCTGAACTCAGTGAAACAACCTTCCTTGAAAACTTTATATATTATAAATAATTAATGCAATATTCTTGGTTAATATCAGATAAAATATTAATTATAATTAAAATCAATTAGTCCATCCGGAAATTCTCCATGAAAGATAAATAATGCCTCTTGTCTTGAGAAACTCAGAATATTTTAAGAAAGGAAAGTAAAAGTTGGAATTAATTCTATTTATATTTCAAAGTTTGTTTTTTCCATACAATTTTAAGGTTAAATACCTATTTAATGAAATACAGAATTTGAAATATAAAATTAATAAAAGTCTTTATCTAGATGTAATAATTTTTCTGTAACTAACATTTCAAATTTTTCAATGCGTGAGGAAAGAATGCATAACAAGAGCAAAAATTCGGATGTCGATTAACATTTCAGTTTCCAGATTTAGCATCTGCGTGACTACATTCAAAATTCCCTCGCATCATCTGAGCTTCGAATACTCATTGGCTGGATAGTTTGCCATGCGCAGTCGAGTACCTATGTATTTGTATCATCATGGACTGAGCTACAACCAGGACTAGAAACCTTGAAAGCTGCAGCCTCTAGCTCTTTAATGGTTCCTGCGAATTGAATTTGAGTAAACTGAAAGTTTCCTTTGATGTTGTTGATGGTAGTGGAGTCAACATTGGAAACGTCATTTTCGGAAGCAAAGGCACTGTCAGGCAAGATTATTTTTAACATGAAATTGATATAAATATTTTGTGTCACGAATGCTCATTAATGTTTTGTTGCAACAATTACTCCTGGAAATGTATTCGCCGTCGTCTACGTCTGTCATTTTGTACAACTTCATAATTTTTGCAAGCAAATGTGATTTGTTTCTTCAAATTGGTGAAGTCGCTTTCGTTTCAGATTGTGACTGATTGCGCTGCGATGGCTGCTACTGTTTTGTTTGTGTGTTTGTAGAATGACAGCTGGTGCATGAATCGTAAGTAGGTTACGTGTTTGTTATTCCTCTGTTTGTTAACATTGATTAGAAGCTCGAAGCACATTTTATTAGTGGATGCTTGTTATGCTTTTATAGATGGAAGAGCCAATTGTGTCGGGTTTGGATGCTGCTCTGCATGAATTGGGGATGTTGAGTTCTGTCACGCAGAGTCGCCGCGAGTACCTGAAGGAACAACAAATTCGCCAGTGCAATGTGAATAGACAAGCCCTGAACGTTTTGCACATGAACACGAGCTTCGTAACAGTAGTTGACATAGGTCGTCGTAAAACACCGTCCCGTCGATTTAAACCCTATACTCTGTGTAGTATGCGTGAGGAAAGAATGCGTACGAAGAGCGAAAATTCGGATGTCGATGCAGACTGGTTTCCTAAGACATCCCCAACACTAACTCCTGTTGTATCTAATACACCTGATAGTAGTGGACTGTACAAGTCTCGTTCTTTAGAAGACGTAAAAGTGACTGTTTCAAACGAAACAGATTACGATAATCCAACCCCAGAAGTTGAATCTGTATCTGATCAGATTCAGCAGCTTCAAGTTTGTGAATGAAAGTACTATAAGCTTCCTGAATGAAGATCATTTCATTTATGAGAACTATGTCTGTAATTTTTCTGAAAAGTTGTCAATAACAGTTGGGGAAACAAAATTTAATTTAACGACTGTTATGCAAACAACAATATTTACAACTATCAGAAATGAAAGATCTTGTGTTTTTGCAGCTGTTAAATGCAACTTTTCAATTCTCATCCCGCTAGTTGTTTTGTATGCTCTGTACTGTTAAGTTACAAACTTGTACGAAAAACTAATACCTTATTTGATGGGAGAATTTTGGATATTATCTGTTGCAGAATTTAACACCACAAATATCAACTTGTTTTAATTTGTCTCAAATATGTCTTCTCCAACAATCGGACATGCACCACAATATTACTAAACCATTAAAGTCATGTTTTACTGCTTTATAATATTGTATTACTGAAGATAATTTGCTGTAAAATCTATGAGAATGGACCCCTCATTAAGTTGTCTGAGTTGTAAAGCTGTCAAGTGTAGTATGAGTATGTAATGTACAAATAAATTAAGGAATTTAGTTTTGGTTCATCTTGAATTTAGTAAATTGTGGTTTGCATTCCTTAAGGGAAAACAGATTCATAATTTTTATGCAGAAGGATTGACATAATTTTCTTAGCTTTGAAGTTATATATGCAAAAATTTCAGAACACATGTACGCATGCTGAATTTTGGTAATGTTAACGCCGCTATTCCATATTTCAAATGAAGTAATGCCACACTTTGTTAATACTTAGCTCGATTCCCTAAAACATTAGAACTAGCTTCTGGGAGACTTAATGAATTGTGACTGAATGACATGAAAAACCAGAGCTTACCCATAATAAAACTGAATCCTCAATGCTAAAACCAAATAATTTTGTTTCTAAATTTGGTTGTCAAGTAATGAACACTGAAGAATGTGAAAGTAAATGTTGCAATCAGTATTAACAAAACAATTATGACAATACTTTTACAGGACCCTTACTTTTCTGTATTGATCCAGACTGGATTTCCTGACCTTCACTGACGCTTAACAACTTGCATTACATGTGTTCTGATTTAATATGAGAATAATATTATTTAATTTCTAAAGTTACAATAAAAGTAGGTAAAAAGATGCATAAATTCCATTTTGAAAGAAGAAAAAGTTCTGATTCTGTTGGATATGCACTTTTATGTCTTTCAACTTGTAGTATGAATACAAGTGAGTATATAGCATACAAGAGAATACATTTTAGGGTTTGAAAGGGAATTATTGTTGGGAGCAATATATTTGCAAATAAACCACAAAAACACAAAAGTTACGAGAGTTTTTTGTGCATCAGTTTCCTGGTTTACAAAGAGTTGAAACTATAGGTAATATATCAAGTTTGTCAAATTTGTATTCATTAATTTAAACCAGAAGTTCCCACAGTTATATGGCACCCCCAGAAAATTAATATTAGGTGATCCATTGGTATTTAACTTTTAAAAGCAAACTGAAGAATGTAATTAGATATGAGTTTCTTTTTTGTTTAAAATTCAAGAAAGAAAAATTGGTGGAAAAAATATTGTGCTTGAAATTAAATTATTCATAATATTGATCACACCAAAATTCAAATTACACCCAGAAAATGTATGACAGTGTCACAATTAAATTTGCAAATGAAATAAAATAATCTTAATAAGGATAAACACACTTGCAAATATCAATCGATGAAAGTTTAACATGTCAAATATTCACATATATCAGCATTTTTAATTTACCGTGATTAAACTTATTTCATTCTTGGTTTCATTTTAACAATTTTTCTTTCTGCTTTAGATCTATTAAATTTTGAATTTTTAATAATGAATGTATATTTTTGTTATCCCCAGTTTTATGTCCTGCAAGTTTTGCTCACTGCGTTGTTCCAGCATCCAATAGGGAGTGGTATAGCCCATTTGGGGAACAAAGAAGCTGGAATTCAAAAGATAGTGCCTGATACAGGGAAGAAATATTCAAGAAAAGTGATACTTATTTGGATGAATCAGAAATGTTTTAGAAGAATGTGGGACCAGTTTCATGATTTGTACAAATGACATTACACTATTACAATTGTCAAAAGTTAGTGTTAATGTCATACTGATTGTGAGAGAACATTGACATTCAAATAATATTATTTGGTCTTCAAAGACATGAAACTTTTCTGAGATATGGACCTGGACACATTCACAGTTCCTCGGCAAAAAATAAAATTTGCTGTGTTACATTGTTATTTTTGATTAACTATATTTTCACTTAATTGATGTGCAAAGTTTCTTCTTTATGATTCTCTCTTTTCTTTCTTCCCATCATTTTGCTGCCTTTTGGCTGTTTTCAATACACAAAACATCTTGGAAAAATTGTTGCAAAGCATTTAATTATAATGAAGATACCTTTATGTGACAGCTCAATGTAACTTTTTGTGTTTGCATTATAATGTTGATGCCATTATAGTCTTTATCCCTCCCTTTATCTACACAATTTAGAAATGTGCCACAAGGATAACTTGGCCCAAAATGCCAGAAATATATTATTTTCAGTGTAATAGGCTTTTAGGTATTTAGGTGTAGATTTAATGTGCTTTAAGCAGAAACTTTTCTTTGAATATTCAAACTTGCATTTGTTGCAGTGGTATCAATTAGACGTGGTAAAATAACTTGTATTAATGTATTACTGTAATGTTGTAAGCTTCTTTATCTCAGTTTTAAAAAAATCATACTAATTTGCGGTTATTGGCACACTAAGGTATTAAATAGGAATTAATTCTCCTGATTTCTGTTTAACAATAATTTTATTTAAAATTTATTTGTTTTCCAATGTTTGTTGAAGTGTCTTAATAGTGCTCGAAAGGGCGAGCAGAGGTGCTGTTAATTAAAGTTGCCTTTGTAGGCTAATAATAGTTCAATGCCCAGGAAATTATTCAATTTTGTTTACTTCGTCTTTAACTTCAGTAAAAAAAGTGTTATGATACTACATTACTATTTGTTAATAAATTAATGTGCTGGTGTTCCTTGTAGTAATATTATTAACAAAGCATAGTTTATCTATAACACTCAATTTTATATTGTGTAAAATATGAACAATGGATTTTTATCATGTTTGTCAGACTTGATTCCTGAACGTCATGATTAATTGTTCAGTTAATTTTTCTTCAAAGAGTTACTAAGAAATAATTGTTCTTGTGGCTTCTGGGAATAATTTGCTAATAAATGCAGTATAAGTGCTTTTACTCCAAAACCTATGGTGGAGGGACAACACACCTCACTTACATTACCCCCAAAATCTTACGGAATTTTCACAAGTATTTTGTAGACTTTTTTTCTGGGAGCAAATTTGCCTGCCTCTGTGATTCACTCTTGTGCTTGGAGTGTTACATTTTTGTGATTGCTGGCAGGAGCTTAATTGGCAAAAGTTCAGAGATTCAATTTGCAAGTTGAGAAAACCTCTTTTCTAAACACTTGTGTATTTTAGAAGTTCAAGATTTTAACAAATCTTGAACTTAAACTTTGCAATTTCTTTTTGAATAACTGTGTTTAAAATGTTGAACTAATAATAACTTCTGGGAAATGAACTTTTATAATTTTGGTTATAAGGGTGTGCCTGCAACATTGCAATACTGGTAACTTTCGCCTCTTGAGTTTCTGTCTGCTTGACAAGTCACTTACTGTCACTATTACATTCATTAGAAGCATATGGTAGTTGTGCCACAATTGTAGCCTGGTGTAACTTAGCTTATTTGTGTTTGATGTTTTGGTGTTATTACTATGTTATGTGGCAGCAATCCATATCCAGACAATTATGTGGAAATGTCTTCCCTTATGTGCAAAATTTTGAACTCTTGGATGTGATTACATTGTATTGGATAAAACATGTCTGTGTTTTGGTGTAAAACTGTTCTGTTATCTGGTTGATCAATTCTGATGGATGAGGTATATTCAAATCAAATTTCAGATTTTTCATGTGCTGTAGATTCTTTCATCAAAATTATTGTGACATTTTTGGCATTCTTATTATTGCTTAATTTGTGTCCAGTTACTTTTCTTTACTATTACTATATACTAAGTATTTAATTGATGGTACATTGAACTGAAGACTGTATGGCTCATGCTTGTTGATATCATGGGCTGTTTTGGTAGTTGTGACTTTGAAAAGCTTTACATACTATGAGGAATAGTGTTTTCCAGAGAAATTTTTTTAAGTATATTTGTAGTAATTTACATACAAATTGAGAAGGTTGGTTAAATGGTAATAAATCTAGATCACCTTAGGTGTCTGCTTTCTCCTAAAGAGTTAATACTTCCTGCTTATTATAAATAATGAGAAGTGTTCTCATTTTTATGACTCATTTATGGCTTTTATAATACTAGTCTTAACTACAAAGTCAAGTACAAGAGGGAAAATTGACTTTAAATTATGGAATTGTTCTATGTAATACCAGTGTTGTAAATTCGTTATATAATTTTAGTGTTAAATTGTAAAATGTTAGTGGTGCTTCAGGCAGATTAAAAAATGTAAACAAGAAACTGATGTTGAACATTCAGTAGGTATTTTAAATTTGAAATTTTCAAAGAGCTAGTTTTGCAATTTTGTTTAAAGAAATACCAATTTTGATAAATGAGATTCTAGAATGGTGTTGAAACATTTACAATTCTGGTATATTTTTTAATTTCAAAAATGTTTTAAAAATGCAGTAGTTCATATTACAAAATCAGCACAGAAAATATCAAAATTTCCGAAAACTAGCTCTGTAAGAAAGTTGTTGCTGATCATCAACATCAGTAAGGATTGAAGTCAATCTACTAAAAATGCAGCTATCTCTAAAGAACATCTAAAGGATTTTTGTAAAGATTTCAGTGATGTCCATTTCAACTTCTTTGTGATGGTTCGCTGACTGGCTCAGTTTGTTTACTTCAGTGTGAAATAAGTGTCTAAGTTTTCCATTCACATTTCAAGTCTTTGTTGAGAAATGTTTTTATGGTAGAAAGTGAATTAATATATTTGTTATCAGAAACAAAATTTGCATGGAAATGTGAAATATTACCGTATACCATATAGCAATTATATATGTACAGCTGTAAAGGTGTGATTATGAGAAAGGAGAAAGCTTATCTACGTACCCTAATAAACTGATTGTATATTATAAATTTCAAACACACAATTGTACTATGGATTTTTAGGCATTATAATATGTTACAGTAAGTAGTATGGTCATAATCTGTTGAAATTCGTGAATTCTATAGAACTGAACTGCTTATTATTGCAAAATCTGGCAGTTAATATATTTTATTAATATCATGTAGCAGTTTGTTTACTCAATTAGTCCAAGACTTTGGAGATCAGAAGAATGATCATGGTGTGTTACTAGAAAAATTGTACAATTCCAGTGTTGTCTTCAATTGTCATATAAGAAAAATAAATAAATCCTTCAATAAACCCTTGTCAATAGAAATTGGTTTCTTAGTATTTCGTTACAAATTTATTTTTTTTAATCAATATCCTTCAAAATACAAGTGACCCATTGAACAGATACAAACATTCTGAATTGAACAAATTTTAATGAAAAATGTACATTGGATTTACAAGGACCAGTTTTGTTTATTTTTTGATATCCATGAAGTGTAATGTCCTGCTCCTAGGAAAAAATTATGTCAATTTCCAAGGCAAAGGCATATTTCAATGTAGTGTTTGTGTTTGAGGTGACTGGTGTTATGAATTGTACAATTGTCAAAAATGTTTTTAACAAATATAGGGTTTGGCTTTTATTTTCTTTTCTTTTACCTCCCTCATTTGAATGGGTGCCACACTCATTTAGGGGGGTGCAATAGCAGCACATACTTTCTCATATTTTAATGGGTACACGATATACTACTACTACATGAACCTGCAAAAGTTGCTACCAGCAAAATTTTTTTCTCCATGCCGAGATTCAAACTCAGATTTTTTTGCGTTAACACACCAATTATGTTACCACTATACTCTTGCACAGATATACACAGGGTTCCCAATGCTTAAAAAATTTGCAGTTTTTTTGTATAGTATTACATAACTTTATCTTAAGAAATTCCTTCTTAAGTGCCAGAAACTAAAAACAGCGATTCCTTGCATTATTTGTAACTTTGGCATTTTTCAAAATTTTAGAGATTTTTAACAAATAAGAGACTTGCCACATTTCTTTTTATGCATCCTTTAATCTATTCAGGAACAAAAAATAAAAAGTTGCAGTAACTTTAAGCATTAATTAAATTAATCATCTTTTCAAAAACCTATGACCTTATTTAAAGATTAATGGTTTAGAATACTAGATTTCATTAATACGGAATTAACATGAATCTGAATTACAAAGATTTCAAATTTGTGGATTTTTAACATAAATGCATCTAATAACAACACATGAATTGATTCATCCCCCCCCCCCCCCAAAAAAAGAAAAGAAATTATAAAATGTTGTTGTATAAATTATTTACCCCGTATATTTCAGATGTGATGAGTTAGTAAAATGTTGCCAAAATAGCCAGTTATAATAAAAGCCAATAAAAATTTGTATCTTCTGATCACCTTTATATGCTGTTTACTTGTATTTTGAGGAGATTAAATGGCTTTTTATTATGTTCAATATAGTAAAGTTTCGAACAGTGGATAAAATGACTTTATTACTACAAGCAATGTTGCTACAGGTAATGGCTAAAGTCAATATAATTTAATAATTGCGTAGTGTTTTTGCCATTAATTACTAATCACATTGGCATACAATATACAGTTAGAAAATTATTCAATATATTTAAAAGGTGATCAGATAAGATAACTAGTGGTGCTACAGAATAGCACAAACCTTGAACTACTTAGTTTGCTTTTTGTGCCTAAAAGACATTATTTCACGCCTTCCCTTGTAGTAGAATTAAAATATGATCAAGGGTAAAACATGGTCCTGTATGCACATTTTCATTAAAAAATTTGTAGCTATTTTTTTAGAAAATGTTCTTTGAATATGATTTTTTTAAACATATTTTATTCACGACAAAAATCTCTATCTTCAAATTTGTAGTTCTCCAATGTCAAAATTTTGCAATTTTTGACAATACATAGTTGATAATGGGAACAACAAAAATTCAAAAATTGTACGTGACTTTATTTCAAGATATGTCTGTAAACTACAGACTTCATTAAGAAAAAAATACGTTTTTTTAATATTGTAGTTGAAAAAAGACACCAAACCTTTTTGCAATTTTTGAAAAATACAGAGATTTTAACAAAAATGATATCTGCACTTTTTTCTGAGTTATTTATGCTATTCAAGGGCAAAGATAATTAAAAGTTTGGAGCCTTTTTTGAGAAAATTTTGAGGCTGTTATTGAAGTACTTCTAAAAGTCAGAATATCCATGTGTGTTCATATTGATTGGGAAATATAAATTTTGGTGACAATTGTCTTAATAGTTTAGGCATTACCACTCCAGCATCAAGGAGCCACAAAACGTTTTCCATCGAAAAATCACCAATCCCTCCCCAGCATTACAATACGTTCTCTATACTGCATAAACAATGATCATGCAAGTGAAAAGATAAATGAAGTACATGGTCTTTGAAAAAATTCCTTTTCTTTATCAATTCTGGTAGCCTTTTTTTAAAGCCTCCAATTTTCACTGAAGCAATCAGAATATCTCTTACTTCTGCAACATGACTATTTCTTACAATACCAACAACAGAATTAGTGGTGTTAAAGAATGGCATAGGCTTTCTGGAATTCCTCTTTAGTCTCAACTAGCTTTTGGGTTTTCCCCCACCCTCTTACCAGTTGCAAAATATTGCCATCTAAAATTGTTGTTTGTTTTCTTTTTTTCTTCCCAGTTTTTCAGTTCCCTGTTGGTAAAATTGAAATATACATTTAGGAATATTATAGAAGAGTAAATCATGATCGTATATTCAAATTTTCCTGAAAATATTTTGAGCCCTTTTTTGCTGTTGTTGACAAAATGGTGTTTGAGCATGTCTGAAAATGGGCACATTTGAACTCGAGGAACAAAAATGTCTAGTTTTTCAAATATTGGTAATCTCACGCTTTTTTTAAATTTTATTTTTATTTATTTTTTCTTCAACTTTTACTCATCTTTCAACTATTTATACTTAAAATGATGGGAAGGAATTCTGGGACTCAAGAAAACGTGTGCAGATTATCTTCTCCCCCATACAGCATATACAGTTTTTACTGTTTTTTGACTAAACAAATCTAAATCTAAATTTCACACAAAATGTTTTCAGTTTTAGAGAAACTTTATTGGAAATCGGTAGAAAGAGCAAATAATACTTTTGTTTTCAAACCAGCTGTAAAAGTTCCATAAGGACCAACATGGCCATGTCCAGGAGCCTCTTGCTATTGATGTCCCCAAATTTAAAACGAAGTAATAAGTCTTTTTTCTGAAACTGAGGCTGATAAAACCATAGAAATAAATGAAGCGCAGTTATTTTCTAATATAGTGGACCAACGTAAAATGTATCAAAAGTTGTTTGACCAGTCAAGTAAAATTTCATTCTATGTAGGGCCTAACCATGAAGAAACTAGTGGTGTTATAGAATGGCACAGACAGACGAATTTTCTTGTCTGACAGTTACTAAATAAACTAGTGGTGCTAAAACATCACGTACTTACTCGCTCGTACTTTCATGAAAAATTACGCGAAAAATTATCACGTTTTGTATATATTGTACATGACGTTTCAAAATTTATCTTTAAGGAACAAATTTCATTAAGGGAATAAGTCGCTATATTCATATTGTAGTTGTAGGAAGACGCCAAACAATTTGTGGATTTTTGCAACTTTCGGAAAATCAGAGTTTATAACGAAAAGACATGCACCTGCCGTGACTGTATATCCAATTTTTCTCCAAATTATTATATAAAATCTTTAGCCCGTTTGTTCAGCATAGTCCCGCTCATGATTCGTTTTGCCCGCGATGTACTTGTTTGTTTCATGAACATCAGTGTAGGCAATACATGCTATGGAAAATGCATTATCATTTTTGTTGTTAACACGATCTCGAAGAAGTGCTCTTGTTTTATAAAATTTGGCATTAAATTACGAACAATCTCAGTCTCACGTTTTGACAGAAACTACATGATTATGTTGAATTACGATTAAAATATGTAATTCACAACCTGATAGGCCATTTTTCACTCTGTTTTCATCGTTTATTTTAATTTGTGTACGTCGGTAGACCTGATTTGCCCTTTACACTCGTCAAAATCCTGTCTGGAATTTGCACCCTTGACCTCCGTGGACCGCCCTTTGCTATGAGGGTGGGAGGTAAATTACATAAGTAACTATTACTATCTCGTCGGGTGGCACTCAGCTAGTTCAGAGTTGAGTAGTACATTTTACAACCAAAATTTAGATAATTTTTACAAAATGGCCTTACCTGTGTTGATATTGAAAAGCAGTTTTTCCTCTTCTGCAGCCATGGCTGGCGCAATAAAGCACGTCACCATAATTGGTGGTGGATTAATGGGTTCTGGTATCGCTCAGGTAATTCACTTTGCTCATACGCAATTTCTAATGCTTCGTTTGTGGTCCATGCATACATTTTTTCTTCTTGTTTTTACTGGAAGGTTGCTGCTCAAACGGGACATCAAGTAACTCTAGTAGAAGTGAACGATGCAGCCTTGCAAAAAGCTCATTCAAGTATCCAAGGAAGCTTGCAGAGGGTTGTGAAGAAACTTTACAAAGTAATTTTTTTTTTGGACAGTATTTAAGTGAATGTGGTGAAAGTGTATGCATTAATTCTTACCATAACTTTCAAGGATAAACCTGCTGATGGTGAAAAGTTTTTAAAAGAATCATTGGCCCGAATTACAACTTCGTTGAATGCAGAAGATGCTGTTAAGAACACAGACCTTGTTGTGGAAGCTATTGTTGAAAACCTGAGCATCAAACATAAGCTCTTTTCATCCCTTGATAAGGTACGTGTCAGATATTTTGTTTACACACTTACACTCTGTTTTGTTTGGCTATTTTATTAATTACAATTTTACAGGTGGCTCCGAAACATACAATATTTGCTTCCAATACATCATCTCTTCCTATTCAAGATATTGCTTCAGTTACTAACAGGAAAGATCGATTTGGAGGATTACATTTCTTTAATCCTGTTCCAGTAATGAAATTGCTTGAGGTAAGATTTTGATAACTTACCTTCAATTTTAGTGATATTTCAAGTCCTAGGGGAAAAAATTACCTCATATTGGGGGACAAATTTCATTATTGTTTTTATAGCTGCCACTTCGAGTTTGTTAATTAATGGGCAATTTAGATAATAAGATAAATTAGCTGGTAGGAAAAAGAAATGAAAAAAATATTTTGTGCTAATTGGTGGTATATCAGCTTATATTGTGAACAAGGTGTATTTGAGTCTGTATTCAAAGAAAAAAAAATTCTCCTGCTTCACAAAAGGCCAATCGCAAAAGGAGTTTGGATTGTCAACAGTAATGAAATCTTGGCTGGGTTTAGATCTATGGCATTGTTTTGAAGTCATGGAAAGGTCAAGAACGTTCATTAATTGTATGGGAATGCATCCTTTTTGGCTTAAATTGTCCTACCATATTTCTGTTTATATACACTTGTTTTTAAATTTTTGGGCAAGATGAAATTAGCAATAGGTAAGCAACGTGAAGCCTAAATAAGTTTGCCTGACACACCCACATTTTACTTGGTCTTTAGAAAAGAAGTATTATTTCAATTGCAATAAATTAGTATTCATTCTTCAAAATATGTAAGCGTAGGCATTTTCAGATGTTTTGTAAATTGTCCAATTGCAAGAAATTGTTTGAAATTGTCAGCTTGGCAGTGTGAATGAATTTGATGACCATCCAACGTTTACAGTTTGAACCAATTTTTACAAGATTTGCTACTGTGGATATATGCAATTCATGAATGTTACAGGTTATTCGAACTTCAGATACTTCTGATGAAACATACGAGAAAATGATGGAATGGGGAAAGAACATGGGGAAAACTACTGTTACCTGCAAAGATACTCCTGGATTTGTTGTGAACAGATTGTTGGTTCCTTATTTGGCAGAAGCTTTACGGATGCTTGAGAGAGGTTGGTTGACCTTTGATGAAGGGGGAAAATGAAAGAAAATAAATATATGTTTTATGTCGGTCGTTTCTTTTATGTGTAATGGAAATTAATTATTGAATCAATGGCTCTGGATATTTTTTAGAAGAATAATCATGAATACTGCAGTGGCTAGCATTTAGATCTTTTATATCAAAGCATGTGGATATGAACTGATCAAGAGACTTGAGGGCAATGAAAATCCTTAATGTCTTTGGAGGAAAGGGATCTCATCATAGATTTATTACAAATGTACACAAACCGTTCAATGATCGAATGCAGTAGAATTTTACATAGTCCCTCTGTTCCTCCTTTACCTCAGAATGGGAGGCCATCATTGGCTGAATTTAGCCCTTGATTAGAATGGTAATGAAATATTCAGTATTATTGGATGCATTTTTCATAGTGACCTGGTACGCAAGGTAACATATGTACTTGGCTGGTGTAATTGCTATGAAGTATTAAATTATTATGTATACCCCCTATGAAATTAAATTTTTCTAAATTACATTTTGAGAAATGCTGATATTCAATGTTCATTCTTCATTAGTTTTTTGGTGCTTTTATTGAATGATAAAAAAAAATTCACCTGAAGACTTCCCTGTACTTAGCTAAGTTTATTTCTTCTGTTAATGACTTTTCTTTGATTGTTCTTTTCAGGTGATGCTTCTGCCCGTGACATTGACACTGCAATGAAATTAGGTGCTGGCTACCCTATGGGCCCACTTGAATTAGGCGATTATGTTGGTTTAGACACTACAAAATTCATTCTGGATGGTAAGAATTACATATGTTTCCGTACAAAAATTATATTTAAGGCTTTAACAATGGGATTATAATCAGAAAGCATGCTTTAAAAGAATTAAAAAGGTGTTAGTAAAAGACAAGTTATCAATAAATAAAAACTATTAAATAATGGGAAGAAATTAATAGAATTGCTTATGGAAGCAGTAATTATGTTGTTCAAAGATTTAACTTTTAATGCTGTGACTAAATTGCTCTATTTTAATTCCAGGATGGCATAAGAAATTCCCTAATGAGCAGCTCTTTCAACCAATTCCTTTTCTCGACAAATTGGTTTCAGAGGGAAAATTAGGCAAAAAGAGTGGGGAAGGTATTTACAAGTATTAGAAGACTTTGAAAAATTCTGCAGAACTGAAATTGTATTTTTGTATTGGCATTGGCAACTTTTGTACAATTCAAGATTGTGCCCATAATAATGTTTGACTTTTGAAATGTGTGTTATGTTTTGTTTTTTTCATGTACTTTTCCTTGTATCAGAGATTTAAAAGTTAAATGTTATTTTTATACTTCTTTATTATGTATAATTTGTTTTTGTTGTCATAAACACTTGAAAAATTTCCTTACTTGAAAATTTTTCCATACAGATGATGCTTATTTTGAATACAAGTGAATCATATTCAATATTTTCTTGCTAAGATTGTTTGAAGTGCTCTTCAGGACAGATTTATTCACAACTATGTGCTTCAAAATTATCCATGAATTAAATAAAAATAACCACTCATTGGGAAGTAGTAAGTGTAAAGAAATCCACACTTTGAGAAAAGTGTTCATAACTATTTTGTTTCCTGCGATTCACATTGAAACAGGATTTATTCATATGCAAACAACATGCTTATGTCATGGCAACACATTGTATTGTCCCCACCTCTGCCCTTACACACACACTCATGTATTGCTAGTGCACGTTTTCTTGAACACAAGTTCCCTAGTCCTCGCCCAGTGCTGAGAAGCATGGTCTTATGAAATACTTAGGTATGACTTGAACGGCCCAGACCAATTTACAATGCTGGCAACCTCGCACTTTCAAAACCAATCATAGCCTTTCTCATGGTGCACTTGGTCACGTTCATGCCCACAGTTGGTATGCCCTATGAATCAGTGACAGCCAGAGCCCTCCCCTCTCATCGTGGAATATCAAGAAAACTTGCCCATATAGTATGCATTACACTACCACACATCTCGAGAGGGTAGAGTTTGTCTCGGCTAAGGTGGTGTCCCACTGGTATGTATCTGGAGGGAGAAACCCTCTCGCGGTGTAAGTTGGCACAAGATCTCATGCCCTAGGCAGCGAGGAACAACGCTACCTCCTATGATTTAACATGCACTGCATTTATCTGCAATTGGAGCACTCATTTAGAAGACATAGTCTGGAAAGAGAAGTCTTCAATGTACTCTTCTTGCAAGACTATTCAGAACTCTTCTGTTGAAATGTGTGTTTCAAATGGTTTTCAGTTGAGGTTTTGTTCAAGTTCAGCCACTGACAAGAGGGGAATTCTAGCAGCTGGCTGGTCTGATAAGTCATTTTCTGTAGTTTCTCCTAACATGCCAAAGTGGTCCCTTTACAAAAGGGCTGAGCACAATCGCTCCTTCCTCATTCTTGTCCCTCCCTTTCCCCTTACACACTCATTACCCTACTAGTACACATGGTGCGAGCTTAGTTTCTTCAGGCTGGGGGAGACACCTGAAAGAAGAATCCCTGCAACCTCACTTGTAGGTTGGCGCCGGATCTCGCATTCCAGCGGGGGCGAATCACTGCTGTCATTTGAGATGTTAAATGTTCTGCCTCATTAGACTAATGACTAGCAGTTAATGTGCCCCCAAACAATAGTTTATTAATCTACCCGCCAAATGCTTTTTAAGATGAGTATTCGCATAAAATGCATTGGACAGACTTACTGATATTTTATGTTAACCCTAGAAAGCCCAAGCGGTTTTCCTTCCGAATAAGCCTGAGGTGAGTCCGGCGGACTCACGGGGGATAAACGATAATGCTCTACTTGTTTTTGATTGTTAGATCAGAAAGCAATGAAAATGCATTCTTTTATTACTTTTTATATTTTTGAACAATTAATTTGCTTTTTACGCTTAAAACCTTATCGTCAGCATGAGTGTACCGAACATATATTTCCTTTGCATATATTGCAATGACAGTGTCTTTGCTGTTGTTACTTCTGACACTAATATTATCTTCTTCACTAGAATTATTTTCGGGGTTGTAATCGCTGTCTTTGCTCCCTGAAAATAATCCATTAGATAAATTTTCACCATCTAAATCGAGGCCCTTCCGAATCTGAGCATCACTCGGTCTAGACATCTTGATACCTACACAAATGAAAGTATTTGGTTCGCGAAGAGGTACAAAATATAGCGATTCAATTTTGAGAGAATATTTACTACCCGAAAATACTCGTAACTAGACTGCAGAAAAACTCACAATAATCACACACTGAGGCAACTCTGGATACAACCTAGAATGGTATGTGCAATCTAATGAAATGTACGTGAGTAGCGATAAATGTATACAAAAATGTCACTAGCAACACTGGCAATACGCCGAAGGCCGCTTCTGACAATTAATACAATAACTTTTTTTTTCTTCAGGAAAATAGAACAATTTAAAATCCTAACGGTGACAAGAAAAATACGAAACTACTTATGAGTCTGGTAGACTCACCCCAGGCTTCTGTGGCCTAAATATATGGTTGCCGCAATATGTGAATAATTTTTGTTATTTTTAAAAAAGAGAAATATTTTGATGTAACATTTAGAAGGTGTAGAGAAGATCGAATTTCCAATAATTTTTAGAAGCATTGAAAGATGGAAGTGAGTCCGTTGGACTCACCTCGGGCTTTTTAGGGCTAACGCGAGGGCCGAAGGCCCGACTCACGTCCTCAACTTAGACAGCGTAGCGAAGCGTCACAACTTCCCATTTTCCTGTATCTCTTTAAACAATTTTTCATAGATCCGGTTTTGTTCAATTCATCAAAATCGGAGCACAACACAAAAATAAGTATTGTCAGAGACATGGCAATAGATATTCGGATGAGTGACGGGTTGCATACTCTACAGAGAACCGACGACTATACATTGGTTTATCTATTGGCACATTGATAGCCGACCTTGTAAGTCGTAACAAACTGTTGGGCCATGGGTTATCTTTGTAGATATCTGCGCACCTCTTTTACCAGAATCTTTCAGTAGTCCTCAGGTGGCATTTCAATATTTGGAACGCAGCGGCACAGTTTTCGAAGGGGCGATCCATAAATTACGAGAATAAAGATTGCGGTTTATAATATACGCAGATTTAGAGTATTTTGAATACCCCGTCTCCCCTTGTAACGCGCGCTAAATAATTACATAACGCATGTCACTTCTCACCCGTAAACGTAATAAGTGAAAATAAATAATAGAACAGTAAAAACAATTTGTATTTATGTTATTTGTATTGTATATTAAAATTTATGATAATTAAAGTCGGAATTAGTTGGTTATGCCGACTGCACCTCACAATAGAATTGGGATAAGTAGTAAGTGAAGGATGGACGTGTAGGCGAGAAAATTTTTGATCACAAGCCGTACACTCACCGTCGTGATGACGTATGGGCGACAGACACCTGCGCCAATTTAAGGGGATTCTAATTTATACTACGTATCAATTTTTAATATTTTCTTCGAAAGCTGACAGTTTCAATAAAAAAATGATGTAAAATATATATTTCCATTGTAACTATTTACATCTAATAACTATTTTTTAAAACATTAATTAGTTAATATTTTAGGGATTTAGTATAATATTAGAAAAGGAAGTATTTCAGCAAATGTTGAAAAATGTAAAAAGTAAATATCAATGTTACCGAACAAATTGCTATCCCTACCTCTTTGTAACGCAGCGTAACGCTCTCAAACACCTCCTCCTCTTTAGCGTTATGTACTTTATGGACAACTTCTATGAGTTTTACTTGTGCTCTCTAAAATGTGTTAATGTGGGCAGAAATTGCGGCATTATAATTTTACGTAACCGTTACTGATGCGAGAAATCACGTACTGTGGTAGCACCACTAGTTAACAAGGATTATGGATTTTTATTTCACTTCAGCCTTATAAGACCAGCTTACTTCATGCACATACTTTTCCGATTCTGACGATTTTTATATTACAATTATTTTACTTTCAAATTAATAATATGAATTTTCTGTTCAGTGACTTTCACAACCGTAAAATAGCACGGGGGCTTAACCTGATGACCTTGAAATTGTGATACCAATTGACCTCGCTCGGATATCGAACCAGTAATCTTTTGTTCGTAACCAGCGTTGCATGCAATGTAAAACGCGAAATGAATAATTCGCATTTCTGAAAAATTAGCATTTAATCTCAGACAAAAACAAAGAAACCTAGTTGTGAAGATCTTACAACAAAAAAACAGAAAAAATACGTCGTGATTTTACGTATCCTCTAGTAAAAGCAGTTTCATTTAGGGCATGCAAAGCGTGCTAAAACTGAGACGATGTTCAAATGTTCAATGAACTATTAATACAAAGACGTAGTGGTGCTATAGAATGGCACAGAATTTCTCGAACTAGTTGTCTAATTTCTTTGTTCTAGGCTAGCTTTCAAGTTTTGCCTCACCCTCTTCTTAGCTGCATCTATTGCCGACCAAAGTACACTCTTTCACCTACTATACTGTTGAAAAATTTGAAGCAGTTTTTGAGAAAACGTCGTTTAAGCTTTTACAGTAAATGCGAAATTTGAGGGTTTTTTTTTTTCAGAAAATGTTTGAGTTTTGGAGAAACTACTTTGTAAATAATTTGAATCATTTTTACTCATAAAAGCAATCATATATATATATATATATATATATATATATATATATATATATATATATATATATATACGAGTAGATTGCTTGAAATGTGCAAATTAATTGCGTGAGAGATATTTAAAAAATACATTGACGTAACTTTTAAATAAAAGGACTACAGCAAAGGTATTCGTGCCGTCTTATACAGTGCATTCAGCACTATCCGTACAAAAAATTGGAAGAGAAAAATTCGAGCTATTTTGGAGAACATGGTGTTTTGAATGAAGATTTTTGAGTGTTTTCACAGAAAACTTTTGAGTTTTCGAGGATCTTAATGTCATCATTTGAAGCACGTGGTTTACCAAATTTAATAATGTACATAAATTACCGATAATATTATAAATATTAACGACGTGAGAGAGATGTCAAAATAATTACTGTTGTGTAATTAAAAAAACGAAAGAATGGAGCGAAATGACGTGTATGTCATATTATACAATACATTTAGTGCTATCCCTAAAGTTTAAAATAGTATCGGCATTTATGGAAAAACTTTCCCGGGCATTGTTTACTTTATGTTATTAAAGAAATTATACTATTTTATTTTATTTAATACGCAGTAATTGTTTTTAGGTATTAGATTATTTCAAATGTAACATACCTCAGCGGGCATTCTGAGGAGTGATTTATTAAAAAATAATAATAGTAATAATAATAGTAATAATAATAAAAAAAATTGCTGCGAAATTCATCGTAACCGGAAGTACTGTCTCTCGGCCTAGGAGGTACGCTGTAAAATTAATTTTAAAAAAATCGCAAGATACGCAATATTTGAAAAAATAGACATTTTCGTTTCCGAGTTATTGAAAGCTTATTTGCTACCGAAAACGAATTGCAAGTATGATTTTTCATCATTCCTAACAAAATA